AAATATAGTGTGAGGACCCTGAGGCCACTAATAGGCCATAATTTCCTTGAACAGCCTCACCTGGGACCTCCACTGACACCCCATGCACCCAGGAGCCCGGTTTAAGCTCAGCCTGGGGCCTTTAGTCACTGCCTGAGCTATGTTGTAGGTAGCACCCATCTCTGGTCCTGCTCCTGGCTGAGCTCGGGACCTGCACTGTAGGTAGCTGTTCTCCTGGATGGACCCCTCAGAGCTATGGTGTAGCTTGTCTCCTGTCCTGTCTTTGGCCCCTCCTTCTGCACTTGACTGGCCCCCCCGGACCTCGTTTGTCATTTTGCCTTGTCTCAGACTGCTGATGGACCCTGTATCAACACCTGGCTCTGGTCACTCAGCTCAGAGCTGGTGGCATGGAATGCATTGCATGTGCTGGGGTTGACCTTGGCTCCTGGCTTGCCTTCCCTTAGAGAGCAGATGGCCTTTGCTGCTCCCCAGCACCCTGAACTGGGTCTCTTTTCTTCCCATCCCCTCCTTCAATTCCTGGGCTAACCACCCTTACTCAGTTATAAGCATAAATCCACGTAAGATGGTTTCACTAGGTCTACATGAATAATAAAACTGTGTGACTTAGTTGGGAAGGGGGTGAAAAAAGGAGAATGTGAAATTGCAGTTCAGTGTTCTTGTTTTGTTATGAAATTTCTGAACAGTTACAGGTCTATTAGGTTTGAAAATAAAAACCCATTAATATTTTTGTCAGTCTTCATTTTTTAGATGCTCAAAATCACCAAATATTTTAGTTTTTTGAATGTAGAGAATTCAAGGAAGTTGTATCTTCCCACCTGTGGTTTCCTTCTGCCTCGTGCCACAGGAGCAGTTCAGGAACATAGGTGGGAGGAAAGGTGCAAGTTAGAAGGGAAAAATGCACTTTGTTCAGTTTTTTTGGTGGCTAAAATCCAAACCTGCTGCTGATCAGTCGTCTTGTGCAGAGTTCATCGGTTGCAGCTGTAAGCAACAAAACAAAATGACACACTGTTTTCATGAGTAATAACTGAAATCTTACACACAGCTCCCCTGTAGTTCAGCAGTGGCCAGAAAAAGCATTAAAAAAAAAAAGTGGCTTCACACGTTTTGTGATTTGCCATGCGTCTGATACTGTTCACAGCTGCTGAACTGGTGTGACCATGTAAGTTTTTAAGACTATGCAGACACCTTTGCAACATTTGTCAAAAAAAGTGTCATGACTAATAGGAAAAAATACACCTGTTCGCCCTTACACTGATCTCACTGCCTGGGCACGTGTGCGCCATTCTCCTGCTGAGTAGCTGAGACTCTCCAGAGCATCAGTCTTGACAGGGAGAAGGTGGCGGGCTGGAGGTGGGTGGGGAGTGGGAAAACTTGTGTTAGGTATGGAAGCTGTGTGGCATTCACAGTATTTTGGCACCTTAGTGGTGAGTGGGAAGGCAGTCTGGACAGAAAGGAGGAGACACCTTCACAGCCAGGCCTGTTCTCTGCTGCTTCTCTTTTACGTCAGGGGTGTAGATGTAATCAAGGTTACTGAGAAAATGATAAAGTCAGCCTAATGTGCTAAGATAAAAATTGCAGTGATAAAACACAGTCATAGAATCTCTTATTCCCAAACCTGGAGACCTCCAACTTCAAGTATTGAAAGTATGATAGGCTTTGTATTAAATTTGAGTTGAGTTTGCAGGATGTCTGGGAGTAGACACAGAGGTCCTGATTCAGAAAAGAGCATGCATCTGCTCCGCTCCCTCTCTCTGAAGGAAGCCTTAGTGCTCCCGGTATGTCGTTGAACAGGAAAACCCCTGTATAGGAAAGGATGCAGAGCAAGTTCTGCCTTCCCATGTGAGGCATAAAGTTTCAAGCAGGATCACTGAAGTCCCACGAAGTAGCCTCAGACCCAGGGCAGGACACCATTTGCCAAAGCCGGGGACAAAGTACATGTGAAATAAAGATGGTGGGGCGGACTGCCACCCGCATCTGGAGATTTGATTTGCTTGTCACTGAATGAGTGTCTGCAGAGCTGCTCCGGGGCTGTACTGATTGTACTGTACATGGGACAAAAGTCATTCTTTATTGATACCCAAAGAGGTTGCAACATAAGATGAGATGCAGTACTGGAAAGCAACAGCTAATAGTGTGTTTGGCTGTACCCTTCCTAAAAGTCATATTTTATTTTGAAGGAGGGAATATTGAAGTTTATCATGGAGGGGAAGGAAGGAAAGAATATGTGACAACTGTTGGAATAAATCAGGAGGGCTCAGACAGTAGGAGCTGAGAACAGCTGGAGCCAGGAGGGAAAA